TGTAGGTGGTAATGCTGTACATTGGTGGTGTAGAGAGTGAATGCTGAAGGGGTTGGAAGGGGCGTGAGTCAAGCAGGCTGCTGTGTCTTGGATGGTGTGGAACACATGATTGTTGCTGGAGTTGCACCCAAACTAGGCCAATGCTGAGTATTGGGGAGACAAGAGGTGAGTTATTCGCTACAGAATTTTCACCCTCTCTTCTTTTGCAACTGGAGCATCTATATTCATTTATTCATTCATGGGATATGGGTATCATTGGCTAAGGCAACATTTATTACCTATCCTTAATTGCCCATAGGGCAGTTCAGAATCAATCACATTGCTGTAGGTGCAGAGCACATGGTTCTGTTTACATTTTCCAAGAAGAAAAGTAGATTTTGTCTGTGTGTGAAGTAATCACACTTGCACTTTTCAATAATAGCTTTAAGATTTGCTTTTACATGACAATGTGTCTCGTGCTGTGAAATGTGGGGGAAGAAATCAAGTTAATGATGTCTATCATGAGATGGACCATTTCAGCAGCGTACAGTCCAGTAAACTGATTGAACATCTCGGTGTCCAGTAGGTACAGGGAGCCAGATCTCAGCTAACCTGAACAGGGAGGAATATGTGATTAGGCCCAAGCACTGTGTCTTGCTCAGGCATGTTATCTCTGCCATAGTTTTGATTAAATACATTTCGAGTCAGATGTCATTGTTGCATTGTCAGGAGTATCTACTCCAGTCATTAACACAGTTGTATAACTCTTTACACAGTTGGATCTGCGCTTCTGTTGAAGAAACAATAATGATTATGTCTATAAAATTGACTGAACATGTAGAAATTTTGCAGGAACGGACTCTGTTCAAAGACTTTTATTCAAAAAAAAAAGCCAACAGTTTTCAACATAGAGGTGGTAATTCACAGTGTATTTAAAAGGAATAAACAAGTTATTGTATTTGGAGTCGTAACCATCTTAAAAAGTGATGTTTCCAGGGAATCAAATTTCAGTTCCTAATGATAAATTAAATTGGAGTGCCACCTAATGTCTGTCTGTGCAATAAATAAAGAACTGGAGATGCTGGAGAACTGAAAAGAACAAAACCTGCCAGATCTGAGTGCCTCCAACAATTTCTGTTTCCATTTATGCATTATGGAGAACCTGTGTATATACATTGTAAGGACTTCATCTATTTTATTTGAGATTACGTAGCTGAGATCTTCATTGCCACCATTCTCCATCTTGGCAAGAACAAGCTTCCCAGTGGTATGGATGTTGTCTACAGGATAGATGGAAAACTTTTCAACCTCAGTTGGTTGAAATCCAAGAAGAAAATGTCATTGTCATCCGCAAGCAAGCGAGGTCAATGTCATCTCTGCTCTCTCGGAATAGAATCTTCAAGCCTTACTCAATGCAATTGGTCTCAGCTTTAATCTTCAGAAGACTTTTAAATTCCTTACCAACCCATCCCAGGCCAAGTTTCGGTCCATCCCTCCATCAAGGATCAGTGGAGAAATCTTCCCAAATGTGGAACATTTCCCTTATCTGGGAGGCTAACCCTTATCTGTGTTTGACATTGATGTGAGAATTCAATACTGCATCCAGTCTGCTAGTGCGACCTTCAGACACCTAAGTTTGAGTATCTTTGATGACCGTGACAATTATGCTGAAACGAAGATCCTAGTGTGTAAGGCAGTCGCCTTTCCAATTCTTCTCTGTAGCTCCAAAAATTGGACTACATATGATGTGGTTGGGTAGCTTGCCGAGCTGGGTCATTAGTTCGCAGACCTTTCATTACCCTGGTGGGTAACATCATCAGTGCAGCTTCCAATGTAGCGCTGTTGTGTTTTCCTGCCTGGTATTTAAACTCTGAAGACCATTGGAGTTGATTTACCTCATTTCCAGTTTTTCTTTGCAGTGGTATGTATATAGGATCTAATTCTAACGAACCAGCTTGGCGAGCGAACCAACCACAGCATCCACAACCCGAGCTACAGATCTACTCAAGAACCTTGGACTACATATGAATGCAACCTCAAGACCCTTGAGAAGTAACACCAATGCTGTTTGGGAGCATCAGCTGGGAGGATAGTCGTACTAATGTAATTGTCCTTGAAGCAGCCAATTGTACCAGTATCAAGGCCATGATAATCAAAAACTAACTCCGCTGGTCTCCCACATGCTTAAGATGCCCAAGTTCCCACTACTAAAGCAAATTTTCTTTGCCCAGCTCAAGGAAGACACTTGAATAAGAGAAAGACATGAAGACTTTCCTCAAGAAATGCAACATTGATGTCAAAAGGGGAGAAGCGGTCATTCAGAATAAACTGAGTTGGAGGAAGCTCCTGTTGGAAGGGATACAATTCTTTGAGGAAGCCCGGGGAAGGAATTGGGGAAGGGATGCCAGTGATCTCAAGGCCAAGGACCGATCCCACCTCCTGGAAACTCCTGTCAAGTGTGCGATTGGAAATGAGGCTGGAGGAGCGGGGCCACACAATGATCCACAGGACCCATGAGGAATATCCTAGGTGGACAGTCATACTAGTTAGTGAGCAATTGCTGATCACGATGATTTTACTTGAAATGTGAACTGAAAAGTAGAAGCTTGGACTGCAGCGTCGCGGAGGAAGAACCAGTTTGAAGCAAAAGTGGAACTGTACAGTGCTCACTCATTTGTTTCACAGGAGAGAATGTCACTTTTGCTGAGGGTTTGATACTTTTGTGAGTCAAACAGGCATCTGGTGCTTTTGCATTGGGGAAAAAAAATGCAAACAGCTTTTGGATTGTTTTCAAGTCATTGTTATGTTACAGAGCTGAGGGAAAAGAGCAGGTTATACACAGATCTCTAAAAGCTTGGAAGCAAGTGTGATCTCTCTCTCAAAGTGTGGAAGATAACCAGCAATAAAAAAACTCAACTCGACACCTAGGTCTTGCTATTAAATTGAGGATCACCGCAATTGACAACTATATGGTATTACTGCAATAAACCAAAAGAATTTTGAGAAACTCATTTCCCTTTGAGGTTTGAACTCTTGATCCATGAATATTGTTCCTTTTTTGTCTATATTTTTCGTGATATTTCTGTAAAAATGTCAGTTACACCTGTCTTGTCCATGCTATTTATGAATGAATGTGTGTGTTTGGATTTGAAGTGGGCATAGTTTAAACTTGAACCTCAATAATTAATAATCCATTTTTCCCCTTGTTAAAAGCTAGCTTTGGTTTTATTTTTGTTTATTGATAAAACCTGATATGAGTTTCATTTCATTTATGCAGTGGGGACAGTCAGCCATGAACCATTAACCCAGTGATTAAATTAGTCTTTTTCACCTATGTAATGACTCAGCAAATAGTGGTCACACTCCTCTTATTAAAGTCATGACAACATTGTCAAAGATGCTACAAGTATTTTACGCGAGGTTCTTTCGCTGAAATGTTTGGAAGTTAATGTGTGGCAGATTCAAACGAGTGAAGCGAGTAAAATGTACTTACTAAATCAAGTTTCTTAAATCCACACCTTATTAATCTGCTTCAAAGCAGAAGTTGTGCTGTTGCCCCTCAAGAAGTGCAGGCATAAAGTTATTTTGCATTATCTCAAACCTGTCCCCTCTACCTCACAAACTAATTGTGTTGGAAAAGCAGCCAAAATAATCAAAGACCCCTCCACCCCAGTTATACTCTCTTCCACTCTCCTCTGTTGGGCTGAAGACACAAAAGTTTGAAAACACACACCAATGGATTTAAGGGTAGCTTTTTCTCTGCTAAGGGTACAATAAAGATTTACAAGGATGTTGCTGAGACTGAGAGATTTGAGTTATAAAGAAAGGCTGAATGGGCTGGCACTTTTTCCATGGAGCATAGCAGGCTGAGGGGTGACCTTGTGGACGTTTACAAAATTATGAGGGGCATAGATAAGGTGAATAGCCAAGGTGTTTTCCCCAACGGTAGGGGAGTCCAAAACTAGAGGCCATAGGTTTAAGGTGGGAGGGGAATGGTTTAGAAGGGACCTGAGGGAGAACTTTTTCACGCAGATGGTGGTGTGTGTATGGAACGAGCTGCCAGAGGAATTGGTGGAGGCGGGTACAATTACAACATTTAAAAGACATTTGGAAAAATACATGGATAGGAAAGGTTTAGAGGGATATGGGCCAAACACAGGCAAATGCGACAAGTTCAGCTTAGGAAACCTGGTCAGCATGGACGTGCTGTATGACTCTCTGACTCTATGTGATGGAAAGAACATTGTAGCCTCTGTCATCACTATCCAGAGCGCTATGGTACAATACTTAATGGTGCATGTACCAATACAACTCCAGCTTCCTGAGGGACCTGCAGCACCCAAGTCTGTCAGATGTGCAGATGTTCAGAAATGTGTTTTTGTGCATGCACGTACAGCGTTAGCTGTTGTAAATGACGACTGATATAACAGTTCAATTTCTAGCTTTTATCTAAGGCCTGCTGTGTTTCTCTTCCTGTCCCTGATCTGTCTGCCGTTGTATAGTTGCAGTGACTTTGATCTTTTATTTTGAAAGCAGGATGTGAGCCCACCCAGCTGAAATCTCAGTCCCTGGTGCTGACTGCTGTTTCGATCAATCTTGGATCTGGAGGGCAAGGGTGCCTCACAAACCCATTGTAATTCAGTCTGAAAATGGAGCTCTGTGCACTTACTGTAAACCATCTGTACTGATAGATAACAGGTCCTTGTTGTTCAGTTACCTTCTCTAAGCCTGACCCAAGAAAATACCTCAGTCACCAGCACGACCCCAGGAATCTGCCGCTGTATATGTGGGCCCCGTGAGTTCTTGTTGAGGTCCTCAGTGAACAGTAGAGACTCTGCACTGTTCTCCCTTGTACCCAGAACGTGCCAGTTTGTTTTTGGTGAATTTCTCTTGCAGTGGTGGAAGTCCGTGTAATTCCTGCTCCTAAAACCTGTCAATTTCCATCACTGTGAGGGTCGTTGTGACTGCTGCGAATCTGATAGTCTGTTACTCCCTGGCTAATATACCACCTTCCTCTGTAGGATGACAAAGACCTGGTGCCTGAGTTTGTAAATGCTGAAGGATTGACGTGTCTAATCAAAGTGGGAGCTGAGGCTGACCAGAACTACCAGAACTACATCCTGCGAGGTTCGTGAGTATCCTGTCTCTGCTTCAATACACTGCAGATCATTGCTGCACTATCATTTCACAATCGGATCACATTTTCTAAGAGAAGGAATCTAGATGTAAGCATAAACTGGGATTCAGTTTAAATTTAGATGCTTCTTAGTATTTATCATCTGTGCCTGTTGAGGAACCTGAAACCTTCTCATTTAGCCCGAACTGTAAATGGAATTGTAATCTGTGCCCTCTGATAGTGATTGTCCCACAAGACATTGACCTGGTGATCTGAGCATTTGGGGCAACTTGTTGGTGTAAGTGTCTTCTGTGGGAGGTTGGGTGATAGAAGGGTAAGTAACATCAAAATATGACCCTTTCAGCCTCCCAGCTCCAATCCATAACTCTTCACTGCTCCTGATGGATCCTGTTCAGTGAATATAGCAGCTCTCTGTATGCAGCCTGATTTTGTTTTTGGGTGCACTCACAATGAGAAGTGATGAGCAGCACACACAGTTTTGATAAAGGAAATCCCCAGCTTGCCCTCCTGTTTAAATGTAGATGGACAAAAAGGCTTATTGAAGGATTGCCTGCTTCAAATCACATGGGCAGCCATTTTCTTTACCAGTCCAGATTTTCTAGTTGGACTTAATGTTGTCAAGGGTTAATATTTGATCTGGAGATATGAGTTTTGTTCTGAAGTTACATAGTTTGCAAAGCTGAGCTAAATGTCCTCTACATTGGAGAAACGAAGCATAGACTGGGTGACCGCTTCGCAGAACACCTATGTTCTGTCCGCAAAAAAGACCTTTAGCTTCCAATTGCCTGCCGCTTCAACACACCACCTTGCTCCCTGGCAAACCTCTATGCCTCAGGCTTGCTGCAGTGCTCCCGTGAAGCGAAGCTCAAGCTGCAAGAACAGCACCTCATTTCCCACTTGGGAACTCTACAGCCTTCTGGACTCAATATTGAGTTCAACAATTTGAGGCACCTTCTCCCATATCATTACCCCAACCCCATACACCAGGCCTTGTTATCACATGGTCTGCAATTACACACAACTCATTGTAAACCACTAACAGTCCCCATTAATAGCTTTTCATTCTCCTGGGCTGATCATTATCCACTCCTTTTGTCTTTCCAACTGTTCTTCTGTCTGTTTGAACTCTATCTCCATCTATCGTTTACTTCTTACACCCCTCCCCACACCCTATGTTCTGCATAAAAACCTTTTCCTAGCTACCATCAGTTCTGAGGATGGATCACTGGACCCAAAGCATTAACTCTAATTTCTCTCCACAGAGACCTGCTGAGCTTTTCCAGCATTTTCTATTTTTGTTTCTGAATGATTTATTTTATGTTCTTCCTTGGTTCTCCAGTTTTACCCTAATTGTGATTGTTAAGATTGGGAGTTTTTTTTAACCTATCAGAATGAACTTGGAGACCAGATGGGAGAACCACAGGTAGTATCTCACTCTAGTGTGAATCTCTGATGTGTGATGCTCATATCCATATATCAGGAAGACAAGTTATGGACTTCTGTACTCAATGTCCATCAGCGTTTATATTAGGTTGAAGCCAATCTGAATTCTGTATATAGTTAGGTTCTCCTAATAAGTCATGACAACGTTTCAGATTTGGAACAGGCACTGGGCCCAACAAATCTGCCTTGCTATCATGTTTTCTTTTAATTTTAAACATGTATTCCCAGGTTTTCCTTGTATTTTCAATGGGTATGTTTCTTTGCCTTTTTTATTTGCGAGATTTTGGAGAACCCTCCTTCAAGCTTAAAGATTGAAAGATGAGGAATGCTTTTTTAAGCAAAACAAAATCAGTAGGTGTGCAATCAGTTTTTTCAAAGTTTAATAGATTGGTTTAGCAAAATTAAATAAAATGCAAACAGACCGGGGAAAGTCCAAGCACAGGGATGCATTTTGAGGGTTAAATAACTTGCAATCTAAATAAAAGAAAACATTGAAATAAACACCATCCCCCGTCAATCAACGGGAAGAAATTGTTTGAATTGGCCATCAGTTTCCATTTGAAAACTGGACCTGTTGTATGGGTTTGGGTTCCTGTCTTTGTCTCCTCCCAGCCCAAGATTTGCAGGCGTGAACCACAGTCTCCCGCTCGATCCCTTCTTTTTCCAAAATGTGCTCTTTGAACACCATCCTACAGCTCCCTCTGGTGTTCTAACACTGCATAGCTCTGTATTTACTTTGAAGAGGCCATTCCCTCAGTCCCTTTTGCAGGCTCACCAGCTTCATAACCTTTCAAAACCTGGGTGACCGATGGATGTGCCAATGCAGAGCCATTTTGCTGCTCTTTGTGTTATTCTGCTGACCTTATATCTTGGATTTTCCTTTTTTTGTAGTCTTCTACAAGTATTTGCCTTGACTTTCATTTTTAGACTCGGTAAATACTAATTTTTAAGTAAAAATGTTATGTTTGATTAAATCTTTGTCCACGTGGGAACCTCCAGCCTTCTCTTCCTACTGTTTTCTCCCTGTCTCCTCCATTGTGTGTTTCTAGCTCCAGATCAAATATTTCCCATTGAAAATTTACAACTCTGCATGTTAGTTTTTCCTTCTTGGAATTTAATTCTTCTGATTCACATTTTAAAGTTTTTTCTCGTTATAGTTTTGTTATAATGTTGAATTTAGCAATTCATTAGCCCACCTTTCACAGATCTTATCTATGGAACACTTACACTGTCTGCGTCATGACCCAGAGCAGGGTGATGTAGAGATGGCTTCTGGGTTAATGTGTTGTGTGAGGAACCGTTCCTTACCTCTAAACACATTAGAGAAATAAATGATTTCAGTACCAACATTTTGCAGTTGATATCTCATTGGCTTGTCTGCGAGATTTGTCCACTATTTCCTTTCTGCTGCTCGACTGTCTATAACCACCTTACATCATAACATCATTACAGAATAGGCCATTCCCTCCATCCCGTTGGTCCTGGCTTTTTGTACAAGTTGCTTGCTGCTTTTTTTGTCCACTATCCTGTCAGTTCTTCACCCTCACGTATATGCCTCAGTGGTCACAAACCATGGATTGCAAGAACAATCACCTTGTGGTGCTTCCCCCACACCCTGAGTTAGCCAAATAGTAGCCCCAAGGCTGGCTCACTGCCAAATCAAGGCTGAAGGGGTAATAGGAGGTCCACACCCAACTTGGAAGGAGATGGCCCTTCCAGAGGGCAGCCTGTGGTTGTGGAGGGGCAAATAGGGGACTGGAGCACTGGCCCCTGATTCGCCACTGGGTGGACTGCCACAGTCAGCTAGTCTTATCACCCAAACCCTCCTACAGCCTGAAGGCTGACTGGGGAATTCCAATGGCCTTTGCTAATTGGCCTTGAAGCACTCAGTTAGCTCCCGCTGCCCAAGGCTAGGTAGTTCCATTGACTCCCCATTCCCACCTCCCGGGAAAATGGTCTGGCACGGGTGCTGGAAAACTGGCATGCTCACTGATGTTTTGAGTTTTCATGCCCATCTGACTCTGTGCCTACTCCCACATGGAGTTAAATATCTACTTCAACACCATTTCATGTAGCAACTGCCAGACCCAACAATTGTCCATCTTTTCTCTAGATCTGATGTCGATGATTTTCACACTGTAATTCCTGGGTATTGACAGATCAAAGTCATGGTTTGTTCCTATTTATTCAGCCTGAAGGTTTCATTAATCACCCCATGACTCTCCCTGATTAATCCCCGTGTTTCCAAATAAAAGTTTCTTTTCTTCCTGATAATAAATTTCCCACCATTGATATGAGGCCTGTCATTTCTTCACTGTCCCTCTCCACAGTTTTGAATGAGTAACTCTCCAGTGCTCCAACATTACTTCCTTATACATTGAGGATTGAGAGATCAGGACCAATACCTCAGTTATTTCTGTCTTTTTACTTCTTCAGTAACTGAGGGAACATTCCATCAGGACCAGGTGACTTACTGACTTTTTCAGTAATGCTTATTTTTCTAGTGTGTCCTCTTTATTATCATTGTGTCAATAAGTTCTCTCTCCTCATCGAAAGTGGGCTTCATAGCATCCACTTCTTTTGCAAAGACAGATATAAAGTATGTAGTTAATATGTTAAGTATGTCCTCAATCTCTGTACGAAGATTTCCTTTGGGTCCCTAAATATGCCCCATTCTTTACCCAAATTAACCAATATGATCTGGTAATAGTTCTTGTGGTGTAGTGGTAGTGTCACTACCCCTGGACTGGGAGAGCTGGGTTCAAGTCCCACCTGCTCCAGAGATGTCTGATAACATCATTGAACAGATTGATTAGAAAGATAGGTTTAAAAAAATTCATAAAGTATAAAACATTTAACTAGCATGATCTGTTTGTTGTTTGAAAATGGAACTTGAGATATAGCTATTATTTGAATAAACAACTCACACTCGAAACACTAACTTCTCAGTTTCCTCACAGATGCTACTTGACATGTGGAGTTTTGCTAATACTTTGTTTTCGTAACAATTTTTCAGCAGCTGCAGTGATTTTGGCTTTGAGTACCAGTTCCAAATTTGAGGAAGGTTGTTTGAAACACCACATCTAATAGTCTCTTTAATTTCATTCACAGCTTTGAGCCAGATAATGCTGTTTGTGGATGGAATGAATGGCGTCATCGGTCATAATGAGACAGTACAGTGGCTGTACTCACTAACTGGCAGCATGGTGAGTCGGGCTCCCTATCTTATGATGACGGCATTTATTTTCGCGTGAATTCAAAAGTTTGGAGCAGGATTGCTCTTCACCGGACCCGCAGAAGGGTATTGCAGTTGGAGAGAGATAGTAGGAACTGCAGATGCTGGAGAATCTGAGATAACAAGGTGTAGAGCTGGATGAACACAGCAGGCCGAGCAGCATCAGAGGAGCAGGAAGGCTGACGTTTCGGGCCTACACCCTTCTTTAGAAATGGGGGAGGGGAAGGGGGTTCTGAAATAAATAGGGAGAGAGGGGGAGGCGGATAGAAGATGGATAGAGGAGAAGATAGGTGGAGAGGAGACAGACAGGTCAAAGAGGCAGGGATGGAGCCAGTAAAGGTGAGTGTAGGTGGGGAGGTAGGGAGGAGATAGGTCAGTCCAGGGAGGACGGACAGGTCAAGGGGGTGGGATGAGGTTAGTAGGTAGGAGATGGGGGTGGGGCTTGAGGTGGGAGGAGGGGATAGGTGGGAGGAAGGACAGGTTAGGGAGGTGGGGACAAGCTGGGCTGGTTTTGGGATGCGGTAGGGAGAGGGGAGATTTTGAAGCTTGTGAAGTCCACATTGATACCATTGGGCTGCAGGGTTCCCAAGCGGAATATGAATTGCTGTTCCTGCAACCTTTGGGTAGCATCGTTGTGGCACTGCAGGGAGGCCTAGGATGGACATGTCGTCTGAGGAATGGGAGGGGGAGTTGAAATGGTTCGCGACTGGGAGGTGCAGTTGTTTAGTGCGAACTGGACGTAGGTGTTCTGCAAAGCAGTCCCCAAGCTTCCGCTTGGTTTCCCTGATGTAGAGGAGGCCACAAC